ATAACAATAATAAAGATGTAATAGCGAATAGAATATCAACCAGAATTAGGAAAGTTCTACAAACATTCATGACCATTCAAACCTAGATGGCCAAGGTAAGGAGCAATGTCTGAACTGACTTTTTTTGGACGCACTAATTAGGCTTGTTAATATGGATCCTCACAGCCTGAGCAGTATTTAGTAGTCGAACTCTTAAGGGGAAACTGAGATTTGTTGGTGTGCGATAAATGACCCTGAAAGCCTGGTTAACGTCAATCTTGTGTTCTGTATCCACAAGATGAGACAGAATAGAGCTTCGAATAAATTTTGTTTGTACTTTGCTTAATCACGCAGGGTGACTGCTCCCGTGGAGTAAGTTACATAGGCCATACAATTAGGCGTGTTTCTCGTCGAATACCAAACATCAGAGGACAAACAAAATCTGTTCGAAGCTCTATTCTGTCTCATCTTGTGGATACAGAACACAAGATTGACGTTAACCAGGCTTTCAGGGTCATTTATCGCACACCAACAAATCTCAGTTTCCCCTTAAGAGTTCGACTACTAAATACTGCTCAGGCTGTGAGGATCCATATTAACAAGCCTAATTAGTGCGTCCAAAAAAAGTCAGTTCAGACATTGCTCCTTACCTTGGCCATCTAGGTTTGAATGGTCATGAATGTTTGTAGAACTTTCCTAATTCTGGTTGATATTCTATTCGCTATTACATCTTTATTATTGTTATAATTTAAGCGTGTTTAATGAAGTGTAATTCCATTGATCATAATTTACAAATCGATATTATTTAAAAGCACTGATATTGATATTGACTACTAATCTAGAATATTTTATGTATATAAACATATATATATATATATATATATATAATTGTACACCTCGAGGAGGAATTTATCGAAAAGAATATTCTTTGCTCGATTAATTTGCGTTTTATTGATAAATATATCATCCATTTTTCTATCATAGAACTTGAGTACTACACAACATTTTGCTTGAGCTTTCTCTGTGTCTGTGAGATATCACTGCTGAGAGTGAAAAGTGTAAAGAGCTTCGTCGTTTTAGACTACAGGCATCTGCATTCATTTTCTCGTGTTAGGTGTGAGAATATGATGTGAGGTTAGGTGTACTGCACTAACTAAGGTGGGTTCATCTATTAATTAGCTTTTGGAATTGTATCAAATGATTTTATGTTAGATAATGGATTAAAATCGGTTGGAGTACTATTCAACACCAACGAGTACTGGACACTAATCGTCTGACTGAGGACTGAATCAAGGAGTTTAGGTTTACCAGAAGAGCTGGTTGACCTTTTCGATCTTGAGTTTGTTCCTCGGTGGTAAGAAGAGTGCGCACTGTTGAAGAGTCTTTAACGTCAACGAAAACAGTTGTCCTATACTGCCTGGTGTTCAGTGGTTCTCTAATTGATGTTCAATCCATTATCAAACTTGAAGGCAATCGAATCCCTGCAAACCAATTTTTAGATATACGTCAGGTGAGATTACTAGCAAAAGCGTGATGCTTGCTGAGCTGTCGCGGTCGCCGGCGAGCAATATTACCTGATAAAGGATTAGTTTGTTGAAGAGTTGGAAATGGTCAGGTCAAAATGTGATAGAGATTCATGAAAATTTTGACTATAAGTTTAAAACATGCACGTTGTTGGATGCCTGGCTGGCATCTTTAAGACTGTAAGAATCGACGACTGGAGACTTTTGCTGACACTGTTCAAAATCCTTTTATTTGGTACCAATATACTGACTATTTATTATCAAATAAATCCATTTAATTCTTAATAAGCTTCACGTAATTATTCATCCTCTGAAGATTTACATTTGTCGTAGTTTCTCTGCCATCCTCTTACCTACATTTACATGTTGTTAGGAAGCCTGAGCCAACGAATGACTGCACTAGGCTAAAACCTCAGTTCAGTTCACTTAGAGCACACAAAAATATGAATTTAAAAGTCATTTCATATTCACAAGAAGTGTCAATATCAAGAGGAAACAGTTTTTATTCAATGATATAAGTATGTGTAAAATCGTTAGCACTATCTAGTGTGTGCTCCAACCCAAAAACATAGTATATTGTAGCATAATACTCAGAAAAAAGATGTTAATCGACCACCGGTAATTAGAACATCAATCGTAAAGAAGAGAAGGACATATTTACCTCTCGAATTAGACATAGTAACGGTAAAGCATCAAAATCTTAGATTAAAAGTTCACCAACATGTAAAAAATATTCATAAATGTATTACTTCTGGTTATTTCTCTTCATAGACTCTCCTTCTATATTGCTAATGAATTTTGTTCTCTGGAAACTTGGTCAGTTTTTTGTATGTTCATGTGGAATTTATTGGCGGCAGCAACAATGCATGCTACATGAGCACATTCTCACCAGTAGTTTTTGCAACACACTGACATGGCATCAACGCATAGTCACTAACTTTATCTTGAAGGTGGTCGGAAATTTATTGAGACACACAGACAGCGATATATTAGAGCTCTTTCACACAACATTAATGCTATCGTTGAAACTGTTTTGCCGTCTTCACAGAATTGAGAAACACAAGTTCAGCTGTATGGGAATTTAATCATGGATCCTTATCATCCACTGCTAAGGTTGTTCCTAAACAACGTCTTTTTTTAGGTAATAGTTTGACAATTAACGGTCATTTTCCGCCTGATATGTGTGGAAAAATCTTTTCATGTATCAGTAATTTAACAAGATATTTTCCTTAATATTTGTTTCTGTGCTACCATACTATCATAATAGACACACTCATCTCTTGATTTGACACTAGTACCTAGTGTGATGTGTCTACGCCTCTCTTTGGTGCAAACTGAATTCTATCAGTCAGATTGTAATGTGGCCACTATTCTACGTAGCTTACCATCACAGCGCATATTGATTAAATGATACTAGATGGTTGAAGGCAAAGAGAGAGGACTAGACACATCACACTAGTTACTAGTATCGAATCGAAATATCCACTACAGTCCTACAGGAGGTCAATCGCGAGCCCGAATAGCTCAGTGGTAACGTCTCCGACTGCAGCACTGAGTGATGCGAGTTCGAATCTCAGAAGGGACGTGAGCTCCTTCAAGGTTGCAGATACGCCTTTCTGACTAGTGAATGCCAACTATCACGCAACCTTGGTCCAAGGCTTCCTGCCAATTGACTTCAACCATCGAATAACACTCATCTCTGTCGGGAACCTTTTGTTATTGAAATTATCGTTCTTAAATGCAAATTATATCTGGTCACATGGCTTTTCCGTTTGTGCATACATGCCCAAACTTTGGTCGTTCCTGATATTTACTAAATATGTTTAGAAGTTGCTTCAAAACCCGTGAGTGTCCCAAATTTTCACCAACCTCAAACAACAAATATGTGACTATGCCACATGTCAAGTAATCCACAAAGGGAAAATTTAGCGATGCCTTTGAAGTAAAGGCAAGAGTAAGTTGATTACTACTATCTATTGTAGTAAATCATATTCCTGACTGTGGCATACTAGACCATACGACTGCCGTGAAGAGCAAGAAGATAGAAATAAGCTGGATGGATAAGAAGACTAGAGAAGGTGTGAAATTCGTGGACGGTTTATGTCTAATATCACATAAATTCGAAGATTTACAGGCGGATACAAACAAGTTGCGGAACAGACAGGCAGAAAATATGTGACCTCAAGTGAACATGGAGAAGACGTAGGTGCTGAAGATACCCACCATCCAACATTAATAACGCCAGTTAGCATCAATTACTATCAACAGGAGAAATTCAAGGTGGCTTTCTTTGCTTATCTAGGTAACATCGTTTCAATTACAGGCATCACGGGTGAAAGTGTCAAAAAGTAGGATTGGAAAAGCAAAAGTGATAATCATTACTCTGAATTCAGTGTCAGAACTTATTGAACTCATTATTAGGAACAGGATTTAGATTTTCATCATTAATGTCTAGTCAGCCAGTGCTTCTTTATAGTTTAGAGACTTGGAACGTCAACAAAGGCATTTCATATAGACTGCTGAAGGCTTTCATCGACAGCTGCCTTCTCTGGTTCTAAACTAAAGATCATATAATTAGCTAGAAAGAATTAGCAACAAGGAAGTTACCAACAGAGGATCCACTGCTCAGGTAAAACATTTACCGAAGAATATGGAAATGACTCAATCACACAGTGAGAAAACCACAGAGGGAAGTCCTGCTCCAGGTACTTGGGTGAGACCGGGATGGAAAACAACGAATTGGGTCAAGGGTACAAGGCTGGCGTGCAGGAAACCATATGATGAGAAGACAAGAGCTTATGGGCGATTGTCAAGGCATTTAATTAGGACCGCAGAGAACATGATGAAATGGAGATGTACTCTTCAATCCCTATGTTCCATTCATTACTCAAGGGAAAAATAATAATTATTATTGTTATGGACAAACTTTCATATGCTTTCTCAACGCTACAGGTAATAAATACAGTAATTTCATCATAAACTACTTGTAAAGCAATTTCTCGGATATATGACGCTTTCTGCTTGACGGAACTAAACTGAACAAAATAAAATAACCTGCAAATGTTCTCGTTTAACGAAACGACATCTTTATTGCTTTTGTTCTCATTATATCCCATAACATACGATCGAAAATAAGGCTTCCTGTTCGGTTTGTCAACAGTTTAATTACTACTGCTTTATAATGCCCTACTTGACTGACCCAGTGTGTAAGCTATATTTTGTACACATACAAACTAATTTCACGTGTAACACAAATGAAGCTATGACTTGCTAATATCTGACGAATATGTTCACTATTTCTACACTTAAAACTTCTGCCTAAGAGAATTCATGCAACACGAAAAAGCATGTCAGCTATATGCACGCGTTCAGAAAAAAATGTTCCGATTCTGTCAAGTCATGCAGAGATGTCCGCAAATAGTGTCTTGTTTCTGAAAAAAAGAGAGGAAGAGAAGAGACAAGAAAATGCAGCCAAAGACAAGAAATCACAGCACTCACCGTGTACATTTTTAATAAACTGATTGACATTCTGTTTGCCTAGACTTGATTTCGCAGCATTCGCATTGTGTAGACTAGTTTGAAGAAGTAGAATAGCATAGAATATTAACGATAACTGATCAACAGTAATTGGAGGTGTTACTGTCTGTTTTGACTGGTGGTGATTTGAACTGGAGGAGATATTTATTGATGTGATAGGAGATGACGGCCAACGAACTGTATGATAATATTCTGAGATACATTGGAGTAAACGATCAATTTCTTGTGATTCCACCTGTTCAATTATAAGTAGAACGAATCAGTTGTTTATGTATAGATAACAGGAAAGAGATTTTATATAGACGGAAGCATGTTCACGTTTATGAATTTAGAAATGGTCATTCTATATATTTCATAGTATCTAACAAAACTGTCTTCATTTGTTAACAGGCTTTGATCTTTCATTAGTGGGAATAATAAATGCCAACTTGCTTCAGAACTGAGAGTATTCAGGCTACTGTCGGTTTATGAAAGATGAGAAATGTGACAAAAATACACCAAGTTTCTCAGTAACACAACTGCATTTTTATAACCTAAACCAACACTGGATATACCAAGAGGGATGAAATAGTTGGCTATCCAGTAGATATTTGCAAGGTTCAAAAAGGATTGTATGCTACATGCGTATGACTGACTCTGAAAATATTTAAATGAGTGCATCAGTGGTTCAGTATTTGAATGCAAGCCAACCACGCACATGGTCTCAGTGTGGTGCCCAGCCGGTAATAAGCTCAGTAAGGAGAGAAAGTTGGGCAACTCCCCCCCCAAAAAAGCCACAAAAATTACATCACCAGCACTGAAACTTCAAAGCTTAAAGTTCTTTGAACCTTCGGAAAGCTAATAATTGATATAAACACCTCAAAACGTAGAAAGAAAACAAAATAAAATACTTTGCTTTTGTCTGGTAAAAAAGTTGCTATGTGAATATTGAAAATAACTAGTCGACAGTATAAAAATTTGATTCTACCAAGGTTATGAGGAACTGATTGAGCTGGACAACCAACCCCTAAACTATTTTTATCTTTCTTCGTCCCCAGTTCTTACTTTCCAGACATTTATCACAAATTGTTAGGGTCTAGTAGAGTACTTTCCCAAATTACTTTGGGGTTATACTTAATTCTTTTGATACTACTAATATTCAAGTAACGATCTTACATTCGAATATTTTATCTCAGGCAATTATTTCCCTTCATAAACTTGAATCAGGCAATTTTCCCCACTAATTTGCACTCCTAGACAGAGCTTCAAAGCTTCATTAATGCTGCCGTTCCTAGTCTCAAACCCAATCTTCTCTAATTACTAGTTAAACTACAGACTAGTAGAGACTTAATTGTAGCGCTAGCTGGGAATCAAAGCATCACGATATGAGTGGTTGGCGAGCAATCTGCTATTGAACCAAAGATATAGAAATAACGGATTAAAATTACCTTTTTAGGATAAGAAGTTCCCATTTTATTGCTTTATAGCATGTTCCTCATCCCCGCACAAATTAAATAATGAATTTACCACCATCTGTTAAGTAAAGCCTGGATTATGTGACCCTTTTTCCCATAATAATTAACAAATATCCTTCTCATCACTGAAATCTTTCGTTTAGTTTGGCAAACCACCTGATGATATTGTAACGATCTCTATTCATGTCTCACTTAACTCAGGAATATTCCTTTCTTTATCATGAATATAAATATATATATAAATGTATCTCTGTTTTATTAAAAATTGATTGTTCTGAGTACTCATCTCCGCCTTATTCTACTTCGAAAAGATGAACAGAGAACCCAATTAAATCACGTCACAATGATTAGTGAAGTATCCTACCTCTCATATTGGATGCAGCTGATGAAAAATCATTTCATCCTGCAAAAACTATTCACATTTCGACCATTTTATCTGAAGTTAGACGACGAGAAGGCATCATTTACAGAACTATTGGAAAAGCAGAGAGTAAAACCAAGCTGTCTCGTCCTAGTTTGCTGCCAAGCATAAGTACGCAGTCACCACAGTTTGAAGTGTCGCAAGATGAGACGCAATGGCTGTTCAGTACTCTTTGGTTTTCCAATGGTTCTCTGTCTCATGCCAGCTCGTCATCAAACCCATAACCAACCAAGTTCCTGTAAAGGAAAACCTGAATACTTTATTTCAGTTTTAATCATTCTGGCTATGCTATGTCGTTTATCAACAGAGCATGAACATATTTCCAAATCTAAAATTTGTTAATCAGTGTCACGAAGGACCTTTGCTCTCTACAATATGCGATATAAATGGTTTCTTTTCAATGCAGTACATCCCACTTTTTTACTGCTGAATAGTTATTTCTCCTCAGTATTGACTAGTGTTGTCTCTAATAATCGCACAGTGACAGGAGTTAGAATTCATGAGCTCCTAGGGATTTTCTCTCGGTAGCTGAATCGACGACGAGCTCACTGAATCCTATGTTTGATCCCCGGTTGGTCGTGAATGTGCAGTGTAGAAGAGTTCCAAAACAAGAATGAAATAGCTGTCCAGCACTCCCTGTCGGCCTTCAATTGAGCCTGCCTAACTGAATTCAGCTTGTGTTCCGAAATGAGACCAATCAAACTCCTAGAGACCAACACTTGAGCAATTCTGATTTATGTTAATTAGTGCAACGAAACTGATATGTACCCATATAATATGTCTGTTTTGTTTGACAGTCTGATATATTTTGCTATGTATATATGGATCGATATTCCATTATAATTAGCCAATCATGTTAAGACTGTCTATTGATTTGTTCATTTTGAATATTCGCTCACACACTTGTGTTCACACACTTGTTTGGACATTCATATATTTTGCTCTCACACTTGTGTGACATTGATTCTCCTTGTGTTTGGAAAATAGAAATATCACCGCAAACCTAGTTGTCTTCTGATTTCCGTCTTTCTTGCGTCAGGACTATTAAATTCTCGACCAGTACATTACAGAAATACACTGTATTCTACAATATCCTGGATATATTGATTTCTTCACTGCATAATACATTTTACTAAATAAATACTGATACGAGAATAAAACTTGTGCACTGTGGTAGAGCATAATTCCATTATGGGTAAATTTTTGTTTTGATAAAGTCTCACAGTGTTATGCAATATACTGTAACTAGAGCTTCCTTCTCAACGTTTGTTCCGTTTCATCAGTAAGTCAATAAAATTAGGCTGAAATACAAATTTAACTAGCTACTAACATACCATTTGCTGATATTTGATTGTTATGATAATTCTTGAAAAGGGCGCAATGATGGCGGAAAGTGAAAGATAAACAAAATTATTAAGTAATGAATGAATATAATAGACCAAAATGTGTCGGAATTAGAGTAATTTAAGGGAAATAGTACAGTATGTAAATAATATAAGCACTGAGAGGAATATACCCAGCCACCCAGTAAGTGCGCGTGACTAACAATAACTAACTAAATTCAAGTGAATAAAAGACAATTTAAATATCCATGAAGCAAGAAAGACGGAATTTTCAAGTACTGGTTTTGTAGGGATTTTGTTTTATTGGATTGAGGATTTCATCATGAGCTGACATCATTTAGAGAACTATTAGAAAACCTGGGAGTACTGGACGGATGTTTCCTTGTAGTTTCGGACTCTTCGTCAGTACGCACGCACCGGGATTCGAACACAGGGCCTTCTGGTTACAAGGCGAGCTAGCTCCTAGACCATTAGGCTGCTGGGGCCCTATCCAATGGCCCATGACTTCCAACTTCTACCATTTCAAGCATGACATAGTGTGGCCCCTTCGCAATGTATTCTACGATTAGTTACTACCTCATCTTCAACCTGCTGTACCCGTCTAGTCAGTAATTCATCGAAGGAGACAATGCGAAATGGTTGAGCTGTCGTGAATTGGCAGAAGTGGGAATTCATGGGCCCCTGGATGATGTCACAGTGGCTCAATGATCTACGAGCTAGCGCGCCTTGTAATCAGAAGGTCCTGGGTTCGAACCACAGTGCTTGCGTACTGATGAAGAGACCTGAATCAGAACGAAAAAGCTGCCCAGTACCCTAAGTTCGTTTTCAAGTGCTCCACAGTTCTCTTACTGATATCAGGTCATGATGAAATCCTGCATCCAAAGATGGAATTAACAGGATAAAATGACGTCATTTTATTTCCTAGATTCACATTAACTACAAACTAACAAAAGTCTATTTCCACTGTACAAAGCGACTGACATAATGATCACAGTGTCAGAAAAATAACGCAGAAAAGTGGGAATAATGAGTGAAACGGGAATACAAAGATTATGCCTAGCTGTCTGAGATAGAATCTAATTTCATATAATTCTATGGGAACCATCGTCCAGTAAATGATACTACATCTTTTTGTATTATCTGCGTGATAGATATTAGAAATGTCAATATGATATGCGTCAATCATGTTTTGACACTTTTTACGTAGTATGAAGTATCTAAATGCAATATGGCTAAAAAGTGTGCCATTTCCATTTATTTTAGAAATGTGTATGGAAAGCTATACCATCATAGTTCATACAAATGTTTGTATTTGATATTATCATGAAACATAAGATACTGTGGCCTGCCTACAGCGCATATACTAAGGTTTTGTGTGTTTCTATACGAAAAATAACGTTAATTGATTTATTGTTGTTTTACTTCACTACCCCTGGTTTGGGATGAATAGTAAGGTCTGTTTGAGTAAAAAAACGTTCATTAATCGATGAAGACTAATGTTTTTGGTCTTTTAAGAGTAAAAAAATATTTCAAAAAGGGAATAAGAGTGAAATTTAATAGTCCTATTACAGTTGTAACATAATTTTGTACTTTGAAGATAAAGTCTAGAACAATAATTACAGTGTTATGAGAGCAGGCTGCTAGCCAATCCGTAGACATTAATCTACGTCAATGTCTAGGTCACTAATATTGGCAGTGAGAAAATATGAACAAAGACTGATTCAACAACCAATCACAGCAGACTCAACGTGGGCAAATAAGATTCGCAAATGCATGGCTTAACTTTTCGAGGATCCAGAAACAACCAATCAGAAGACTGTGTTTGTCTGCTCGAATAAGCTATAATAATGTACATGAAATATATATAAGTACGCGCTAATTTTCGTAATAAAACGATCTGTTGCCGGCCCTTGTCTTCTGTTGTTACAACAGTATGATTTTGATGGCCTGTTTAAGTCTCTGGGCTACCAGATCTCTTCCAGCCATCAAAATGCATCGTATTTACTGCATTTCATAT